ACGACGACCCCGTCGTAAGCCGAAAATACCGTAAGTCGAAGATGGCCTATAGCCTACCCAGGAGTCTTAAAGGACGGTGATAATTTAGCAAAACAAAGCAATTTACAGTAGCGTACTGTATAAACTATATACCGTGTGTATTTATTAATTGCAATACTGTATTGCACAGTGAAATGTAAAGTAAAAAACAAGGAAAATTCTTAGCCTACCTATATGAACTGAAATTTAATAGAAAGTTTTAGCAGGAAACAATCCTATCTGCTACAGAAACTTTTAACATGCATTGAACGTATCGTATCGTGGTAACCCTAAAATTAAATCGCTAAAGCTACGTATCATAGTGTAGTGTATAGTGTAATGCATAGTGTAGTGTATAGTGTAGTGTAGAGTAGTGTAGTGTAGTGTATAGTAGTGTATAGTGTAGTGTATAATGACGTGTATAGTGTAGTGTAATAATGTAGTGTATAGTGTAGTGTAATAGTGTAGTGTATAGTGTAGAGTATTGTGTAGTGTATAGTGTAGTGTATAGTGTAGTATATAGTGTAGTGTATACATGCATTGAACGTATCGTAACGTATCATATTGTACTGTGTACTCACCAATATTCTGTCCGTCGTCTGCACACGTGAACGATGTTAGGTTGTTGATGGCAATTTTGTCGAATCGCCATCGTAAGATCAAAATGTCGTAAGTCGGACCCCATCGTAACTCGGGGTCTACCTGTACATGTATCCATGTCGTTGGGGTTTTATTTTCGCCCTACGTAGCCAACCGTCATCATTATTATCAGAGGCGCGAGATGAGTTCTCAAGGTTACGGGGGGAGGCTTCATATTTTCCGAGGGTTCTGTGTTGGGAAGTTTGGATAATGAAGTTGTAAAATAGAATACGGCACAAGTGCAGACAAATAATATGCTTCGTTCACATGTATGTGATTTGTATTGGAACAGAAGCCACTGGCAAGTCACGGCAATACGAGGAACACAGCAGAGGGCAGTGCAGCCAAACACATTGTAATGTGCTCCAGACGCAGTAGTAGCACTAGTGTAGAGGTATTACGTAGAGGGGTGTAGCAAGCCGTTACGTTGGGGTGTCTACATCAACGTCCGTGCGTGGGGTGTCTACATCAACATCCGCATACAGCCCCGCCCCTCGGGGGGGGGGGGCAGTTGGGTATATAAGGCGGTGCGCGAGAGAGCTCGGGGAGTCGATGGAGCAGAAGAGCCGGTGAAGAGTGAAGAGCAGCGAGCTCACCACTCACTCACTCAGTCACTCACTCAGTCACTCACTCAGTCACTCACTCACTCACCACTCACTCAGTCACTCACTCACTCAGTCACTCACTCAGTCACTCAGTTACTCACCACTCACTCACTCACTCAGTCACTCACTCAGTCACTCACTCAGTCACTCACTCACTCAGTCACTCAGTCACTCACTCAGTCACTCACTCACTCAGTCGCTCAGTCACTCAGTTGCTCACCACTCACTCACTTACTCAGTCACTCACTCACTCAGTCACTCACTCACTCAGTCACTCACTCACTCAGTCACTCACCACTCACTCACTCAGTCACTCACTCACTCAGTCGCCCAGTCACTCACTCAGTCACTCACTTGCTCACCACTCACTCACCATACAGGTTACTCACCACTCACGCACTCACCCACCCACTCAGCCACCCACTCACCTACACACTCACCTACTCACTCACCTACTAAGAGTACCAGCTAGCTAGCCTAGCCCTGGGACTACTACCCTGACTCGCTGCTCTTGTAAGAGCCGGGCAGGGCAAGCCAGGGGCGACCTCAGAGCAGCAGCGAGGTCTTCTGTGTCCTTGTGAGGGCCAGACTCGTGTGGCTGAGGGTCGGACCTGAGCCGAAGCTGGGCCAGGTGAGTTAGCCTCCTCTACTAGGATGGTCTGGGTTAGAGGGGTGTAGTAGGAGCTGACGGGGAAACGTTAGCTGAGGGACACTGCCTCGGATAGAACCGGGTGAAGGGGCCGATTCCTCTTCTTCGAGTGTTAGAGTCGTTACTCTGCTGTGTTGGATTTAATTGTAATGAATACGTGTTGTCAACGTCTCCTGCTCTACTTACGCCATTACACTTGTATGCGTCTATGCTCCCACCCGCACTGACCAGCTTGCTGAGCTGTGGTCAAATCACCTTGACAACCCACACGACGAGTTGTGTGGGGGGGCAGGGGGCTCACCCAGCAGTGGATTTATAGAAAGGTCCACCACGCTTGGTTGTTCAACATGGAAAGTCGTGCTGCAGTGAGGCGCAACCAGCGAGATGATAATTGGTTTTTTACCCTTTTATCTGGCAACAAAACTGACACCTTGAGGGCATTCATTATCAGAGTTATGTTTTTTGTTTGCATTATGACTGCAGGCATTGTGGTCTATGCAAACATGACTCATCGTAAAAACGGTGTCAGTTTTGTTGCCAGATAAAAGGGTAAAAAAACAATTATCATATTTTTTTTTTACTGGCAAATGAGGTACCAATGGTGTAAACCAGCGAGATGTTAACTGCCTTTCCAGGTATACAGGGTACCTGTATACCTGGACTTTGCGTGCCTCTCTCTCTCCCCGTGGTCGTATGGATTTTTCTCCGGCTCCTCCGGGTTTGTCCCCTCCACGTGTAAGAATCGACATCAACGCGCGTTCAGTGTCGGTCTTCTGCTCTAAATGTCCACGCGATGAGCAACTCCGTTGAGCATTATTTGTGGGCAGTTTGCTTCTGAGAAAGAGCGAAATAGCCCAGTTGGTCTCACCTCATCATATAAGAAGATGAATCCCTGCAGTCACGAAAGTTTTAAATCGAAATTGCAAATTTCGTTACTGCAGCTCCATGCTATTAACATTCCTTCCCTTTATTAATGCTAACCCTACTCCCTCCCTTTGATGCTGCTAATCCTGCATAATGCACGGGCATAATATGACTTTGAAACCCCCCGCCCACCTCCTACGTATTCCACAAGTAGTGACTAATCCCATATCTGCATTTCCCAAACATATGCTAAATTACTCTTGATATGCAAATTTCTTTGTCAAGGCGCTCTTCCCCCTCCAACCCAAGCTTAAATATACGCTCCAAGCCTGGTGGTGTTTCATTCAGACGCTGTCTTTTCGACAGACCTGTTTTTCACCTGAGGACGGCTGCTTGCGTTATGGCCGAAACGTCGTGAGAATTATTTTAATGTTTTATATTTATTATTTTATTATTTCCCTTCTACGTGACTTTACCGAAAGAATCAAGAAGAAGACTGTAAAGCAGTCTCATTAAACCTTCACGTGTAAACATCAAGGAAGTTTGAAGCAAGCGGTCATCTGGTTTGCAACGGTGTTTTGTTATTTTTCCTCTTTGGGGAGTAAGCATTGCTGAATACTTTCACGTCACTACATTCACAATTGCACACAGGGTCTCTAACACACTATAGCTCGGAGCTAATGGGTTGAATTGAAATCGTTTTTTGTTGAAAATTAAAATGCTTGTTTTCTCATATGCAATGTTTAAATTATGAAGGAGATCACACTTATCATTGAGAAACCAGGAGAGCAGTGGAGGAATTACGGGCACATGAAAAGATGTTACAGCCAATTGGCATTCTTACATGAACAAAAAATGTTCCCGCTGGAAATTGCATCGGGGTCGGGATCGAACCCGCAACCTCATGCGTACCAGGCGCGGTAGTCAACGTCTAGCCACCGTGACACAGATGGGTAAGTTGCGTGGAACTTGCTTTAGCGGTGCTCACAACAATTGGAAAAGCACCGGGCGGATAAAACGGTGGAATAACTAAACGTGGCGATGTTTACGGGAAAGGTGGTTCTGCAGAGAGGATGGAGATAGCGTTGCGATTGACGTATCTAGTTTACAAATCGCGCTTTACGCTCTTGACGCCCTAAAAACTTTGAAGCATGAAGAATTCTTACTTGAAATCGGCGTCCCCCCCCCCCTTTCAACTCATCAATAAATCAAATCAATGAAAGTGATGTCACCGTCTCATCTACCAGCGGTGGGCGTCGATAGACGATGCGACTGTTTTATTTCTTGAAACACGACACAACAATTTACGGAACAGTAAATATATTTTTTTTATTAGAAAACTAATTTGTCACCTCGAGCTGCTCAGCGGGGCGACGCCCCAACTCCCCCGTAGTGGGGACCAACCGCGACTTGCAGGCAGCGGCGGTGGCCCCGAGGAGCTGGTTATAAAAAGAGCCTCTACTCGGCGCACAACTCAGACGCGTAGAGACGTGGGAACAGCAGCAGCAGCAGCGGTAACAGCATCATCCAGCAGCAGTGGAGAGAGCAGCTGACCAGGGACCGTGTAAGTCGTCGGCCCTGCCTCCACTAGGGGCTGTGTGCTCCGTATAACGTCGATTCAAGAGCACGAAGAGATGATGTAATGCAGCGATACCCGCAATTGCCCCTACAGGCCGCCAGGTGTCACCCTGTCACTACACGAATTAAGAGATCAAAGAGGAGGCACGTGAACGACAAACAATTACGGGAAAGACACAGATCGTCGGGGAAAAAATTTACCCGTAAAAACTACGTTTTTCACTATAAATCCTTTATATGCGTGGCGGCTAGTGTCCTCTCGTCCTCTAGCTTGAGATGGCTGCCACCTATGGGTCAGATGATTGCATGCCACCATTAAGCAATTGGTAATTGAATATAATTTATTTTTCCCTAAAAAGTGTAAAATTTTGGAAAAATGTTTTCACGAAAATAAATTGTCACGCACAACGAGTCTGTGTGCAAAATGTCAGCTCGATTGGATCACGGGAAGTGGGTTAAAAACTACCGAAAGATTTGCACGGTCGTAAGCACGCAAGCAAGTGAACTTAATAGAAAAGGATTAAAAAAATCTAAAGTGTTAAAACCGACAGGGGAGCGAGCGGTGAACGCCGTGAGAAAACCCTCAACGAGACACGAGAGACAAACGTCGAGATCCCGAGCGGAGGAGGCCGTGCCAGCGAACACGACTAAGACGCAGTGGGAGGAGGTGGTGGAAGAATCGGCGGCGGCGTCATCGACGTTGAAAAGTCGCCGCGGCGTGTGGAGGCCACCGCCACCGCGGACGAGAAACTGTGCGGGGGGAGAGGAGGCAGAGCGAGGTGACGGTGAAACACCCGTCACCGTAACGGTGAAACACCCGTCACCGTGACGGTGAAACACCCGTCACCGGGCAGAGGCCTCGTTGGGGCCGTGAGAAGTGCCAAAGTGATCTTCTTGGTTCTTTCGGTAAAGTCACGTAGAAGGGAAATAATAAAATAATAAAAATAAAACATAATAAAATAATTCTCACGACGTTTCGGCCACAACGCAAGCAGCCGTCCTCAGGTGAAGAACAGGTCTGTCGAGGCGACAGCATCTGAGGACGGCTGCTTGCGTTGTGGCCGAAACGTCGTGAGAATTATTTTATTATGTTTTATTTTATTATTCTATTACTTCTATTCTACGTGACTTTACCGAAAGAACCAAGAAGATGAATCCCTGCAGTCACGAAAGCTTTACATCGAAAGGCCAAAGTGGCCGTGACGTTTGTACCGCTCGCCTCTCGTTCTGTGTTTCTATTTTACCGGGAAAGGCCCCTGCCGGAGCTGCTGTTCGACGCTTTTTTCGGAAGCGTCCCGGCCACCGCAAACGACGGCTCGACAAAGCGGTTAGTGCCATCATCAACATCATCACGTCTCCCCAGTGCTAGCGATGTTCACTACACACCACACCGGGTACTCATTTGAGGCCGAGTCGACCTAGGAGAGGCCCAGGACCAGTTCAGAAAATCGTCAGGAAGAGGGGCCTCTGGCACAATATTATTCAATACAATTTTCATTCGTGATTTTGTCGTGATTAATCGAAGGTGGAGGGGTGACCAGCCCCTCGTACCCATCCAGAGCCCCCATTTAGCCGCTGTGGTGGTTACAAACGCCATGAAGGGAAAGGCCAATTTAAATTGGCCCTCCCCCCACGGCACTGCCCACCACAGCGTTCCAGTCCGGCACCACGAGGAGGTAGGGGGTTGTTCTTTTGCTTCCCACACAACAACAACAACAACCGCCATTGGCCACTAAGTGGCGGTGACGTCACCACGATGTTTGTGCCAGGCCATGTGCACCTTGAGGCCACGTGAAGTGTCGAACGCCCGCTGGCAGGAGGTCACGGGGCAGACCCAGGTGCCTACGGGTCGACTAACTGAGATGACCGAGATGACTGGCTGATGCACCACCTGTGCCCCCTACTGTGCCAACTTGCTGTGCTTTAGCCACCCGGCGCTCACACACACGGACGCACGCACACACAGACACACGCACACACGCACGCACAGACACACGCACAGACACACAGACACACGCACAGACACACGCACACATGCACACACGCACACATAGACACACGCACACAGACACACGCACACACGCACACACGCACACACACACAGACACACACACAGACACACAGACACGCACACACACACAGACACACACACACAGACACACACACAGACACACACACACAGACACACAGACACACACAGACGCACCTGTAGTGCGGCGCGTCGGTGACGGCGGTGACGAGCTGGGTGAACGAGGGCCTGCAGGAGCTCTCCGCGTGCCAGCAGCTCAGCATGAGGCGACGGAGACACATGGGGCATCCCATGGGACGTGGCAGTCGCCAGCCACCTTCCACTGCCTCCAGCACCTGGGGGCACACAGAGACCCATAGACTACTCATAGAGACCCACAGACTCACCACACAGAGACCCACAGACTCACCACACAGAGACCCACAGACTCACCACACAGAGACCCACATAATCACCACACAGAGACCCATAGACTCACCACACAGAGACCCACAGACTCACCACACAGAGACCCACAGACCCGCCACACAGAGACCCACAGACTCACCACACAGAGACCCACAGACTCACCACACAGAGACCCGCAGACTCACCACACAGAGACCCACAGACCCGCCACACAGAGACCCACAGACTCACCACACAGAGACCCACAGACTCACCACACAGAGACCCACAGACTCACACAGAGACCCACAGACTCACCACACAGAGACCCACAGACTCACACTACAGGGCTGCTGGTGCTGAACTCACGTCCCGGTTGCTCATGTCCCAGTATGGCCGCTCGCCGTGTGTCATCACCTCCCACATGACGACGCCGTAGCTCCACACGTCGCTTGCCGACGTGAACCTGAGCTGGGAAATCGCCTCCGGGGCGGTCCAGCGGATGGGGATCTTCCCCCCCTGGGGACATTCACAATTTGATTTCGCCCTCGGCTTTCGCGGCCGATGTCGTCAGTACACGGCGAAGGGTTTGGTATTAGGTTTTGACCCTTTCAACTGGTACAAAACTGACACCTTTATACAAGGCATCATGTTTGCAATAACCACAACACAAGCAGTCAAAATGCAAACAAAAAGAAACAACTCTGGTAATGATATGCACTGTCCTCGAAGCTGATTGGTCCACACCCGAGACAGCTTATCTTAGAGTCTAGTCTCCATTGGTGTTGGACCAGATTGCTCCTTTACCAGTGGCAAAATAAATTATTAGGTTTTTACCCTTTCAACTGGTACAAAACTGACACCTTTCTCCACCCACCTTTACCCGGGTGGTGTACACCGCCTCGGAGTGGTCGTCCGGCAGAAGCATCCGCGAGAGTCCGAAGTCGGACACCTTGCACGTGAGCTCGCCGCTGACGAGCACGTTGCGGGCGGCCAGGTCCCGGTGCACGTAGCCCACGCGGGACAGGTGCCGCATGCCGCACGCCACATCCCGCAGCATTCCCACCAGCTGGGGCAACAGCAAGTGGCCCTTCTTCTTCTACGCCGTGGTCCAGGCCAGAGGGGGGGAGGGTGAGGAGGGAGAGGGGGGGGCAAGAGAGGGGAGAGGGAGGAGAGGGAAGAGGGAGGGTAGGAGAGGGGGGAGAGGGAGGAGGGGAGGGGGAGGAGGGGGGAGAGGGGGAGAGGGGGGAGAGTGGAGGGGGAGAGGAGGGAGAGGGGGGAGTAGAGGGAGAGGGGGAGAGGGGGGAGAGGGGGAAGAGGAGGGAGAGGGGGAGAGGGGGGAGGGGGAGAGGGAGGAGGAGAGGGTAGGAGAGGGGGAGGGAGAGGGGGGTTGGGAACAGGGGCGAGGAGGGGGAGAGGGGGAGAGGGGGGAGGAGAGGAGGGAGAGGGAGGAGAGGGAGGAGGAGAGGGGGGAGAGGAGGGAGGGGAGGAGAGAGGGGGGAGAGGGAGGGGGGAGGGGAGGAGAAGAGAGGGGGGAGAAGGAAGGAAGAGGAGGGAGGGGGGGAGGAGGCGATGAGGAGCAGGCGCCTGGGTGACGTTGCTGCTGGTGCGGCCGTCTGGAACGCTCTTCCAGGAGCTGCGAGGTGCTTTTACGTCATCGTTATCGTCACCGTCGAGTTTGACAAACTAATTTGTTTAGAACTGCCGCTTGTTGTGTTTGGTTTGCCCCCCCCCCCAGCGCCAGTTGGCTACGTAAGGTGCAAAGGAAGTTTGATGCACACGCGTGCAGTCATCACCGCAAGCGGAGCCCCGGTTAGTAGGAACTATGGCACACAACACAACAACACAACAACACAACAACACAACAACAACACAACAACAACAACACAACAACAACAACACAACAACGCCACCGTTTGCTCTCCATGTGTGGACAGTTACAGACACAACTGCTGAGTGTTGTGAGGCTGCAACGCACCGATGATCGCACCACTTGGCATTGCCACTTCTACCCTGAGGAACACATCCATGGAATGGTTTTCCATGAATTCGGTGATGATCATGACGGGTTTACCTTCGTCGAGAGGGCAAGAAAAGCAGACGTTAGCAATCCACGCAAAGCATTCACGACTAATACCGCAACATCATCACAGGGTCACGTACGCACCTTGTATTGCTGCCAAGATGCATCGCTGTGTTTTCATAAACACGAACTTTCAGAGGTACGAACAAACCTGTTCGTACGTCCGGTTGCCCGTTCTGAACCGAGAGTTGTAAGTTCAACCACCACACGCAATAGATGGTGGTGGTGGCATCTACATCTGCAGAACGTGAAAACCCAGTAGTGTAATGTGCAGTGTGTATAGTGTAGTGTGTAGTGTATAGTGTGTATAGTAGTGTAGTGTATAGTAGTGTATAGTGTAGTGTATAGTGTAGTGTATAGTGTAATAGTGTAGTGTATAGTGTAGTGTATAGTAGTGTATAGTGTAGTTTAGTAGTGAAGTGTATAGTAGTGTATGTGTGTATAGTGTAGTGTATAGTGTAGTGTATAGTAGTGTAGTGTATAGTGTAGTGTAGTAGTGGTGTATAGTGTAGTGTATAGTGTAGTATAGTGTAGTGTATAGTATGTATATGTAGTGTATAGTGTAGTGTATAGTGTTGTATAGTGTAGTGTATAGTAGTGTATAGTGTAGTGTATAGTAGTGTATAGTGTAGTGTATAGTGTAGTGTATAGTGTAGTGTATAGTGTATGTATAGTAGTGTATAGTGTAGTGTATAGGTAGTGTATAGTTGGAGAGCAAATCCACAACATTTCCCATCCGAGTGCGGTGACGTTTCACCGGTGATCACGACAACGGGCTTCACCAGCCGCACAGCCAGCGACGTAACAGACTCGCCTGTGACTTTGTTTAAACTGCGTAGAAGGGACGTTCTCTGCAGCAGCTCACTCTTGGTGACGACGCCCTCCAGGCGGACGATGTTGCGATGGTCGAACTGGCCCATGACGCTCGCCTCGCACAGGAAGTCTTGCTGCTGCTGCTCGTCGGATCTGCCCTTCAGCGTCTTGACGGCCACGCTCACCGTCGCTGCCCCTCCGCTGCTGCCCTCATGCTTCAGGTATCCGATGCGCACCTTGCCAAACTCTCCTGCGGGCCAAGGGGTCAAAGGCAGTGGGTAGCACAAAGTTCAAAAAAGTTCAAAGTTCATGTATTAGGTAGAGCCCGCGTGTTTATGTAGGATGCAGCCCCGACGCATTGCGAGGCTGGTGGTGCAGCGACAGAGTCAATCACGCCCGGCCGTCTTTGTCTCTCCCCCCCCCCCAGCGCTGATGGATCTGTACACACTGCACCAATCAGTGCTCACTTGTCAGGCTGGGTTGACCTCGGTTCAAGTTCATGTATTAGGTGTGGCCCTGTGAGCCATTCGGCTCTTGAATCGGGTGCAACCGCAACAAACAAAGAACAGAAACGTGAACAAGAAAACATCTTAAAGTGACTAAGTGCAAACAGGTCCCAACCCGAGACAGCTTTCCTTAGAGCCTAGTCTCACATGGGTGTGGATCAATCAACTTCAGGACAGTGCATTACATTATCAGAGTTGTGTTTTTTGTTTGCATTATGGCTGCAGGTATTGTGGTCCTATGCAAACATGACTCCTTGTAAAAAAGGTGTCAGTTTTGTTGCCAGATAGAAAGGGTAAAAACACATTATCATATTTTTTACTGGCAAATGAGGTTCCAACTGGTGTAAATGTGACGTTAATAGCAGTGGCGGCTCGTCAATAGAGGGCGCAGGGGCGCCGCCCCCATCATTATTCAAGAAATATACATATACAAAATTTATATAAAAATACATAAATAAAATATTTTTTTCATACGATGTGCCGGCTGGTAGTAAGAAAAGCATCAGCATTTAATAAAAACTGGCTTTAATCGGTCAACTATTTTCTATGTTTTTCAATGTGTTTCATGCGGGGCGCCGGACAAATGGATGTCTATGTGAGACTTTAAATTTTCGGACAGCATGTGACCTGAAGCTGGTCTCTAATTGGTTTCTTAAAGATTCTCCTCGGGGCGCAAGTCGTTGCGTCCCTGGCCAATCAGAATTGGATACATGTTATTTTATCCAATCTGATTGGTTCTCGTCACCTGTCATTCAAATTTACGCTCTGGGCCACTACTGCGAGTGCGCAGGCGACACCACTTTGACACTTGCTAGGCTGATCAAATTTTTTGTGTAAACAATGGCAGCAGTTCATCCAAATTCTGTAATTTATTTACAAAAAAACCCTGTCACAAGGCTTTCGCTGGAAGAAATAAAAAAGATAAAGGATCTCGGACCGGACCAACCCGATTTACAAATCCAGCAGCAGGCCAGTGACAGAGGACGAAGCTACACACGAAGCTTCACCCGCGCTTGTTATGAGAAACGGAGGTGGCTGGCTGGATGTGATGTTAGCAATTCTCTTTTTTGTTTTCCCTGTCTTTTATTTCAAAGTGTCGGCACTGAAGTTTTGTGGACAACGACGGGGGTAAGAGACCTCAAACATCTCTCTGACAAATG